AAATAGTGCATAACTAACTAGTCATAAATACTTGCTCATATTATTTAATCTGTGGGGCAAGGATTTTTTTTTCATTATTCTGAATTTCTATGTCTATGCAAATATATAACCCCAAATTGTGTTGAGTCTACTCTGCTGGATGGCGTCCTCATTTTTGTCAGAGTAGAACTAGGCTGCCACAGCTTGTCAAGGCTAATTTTTTAGAAGTCGATCACTGGGCCTTACTTCTGAGGAACTTCTGAGTGGTTTTGAACCACTGACCTATTGGTTAACAGCTGAGTATGTTAATCATTTGTTACACACAGATTTATATATACGCTTTTATCTCTGAATTTTGTTCCTGTCTTCTAAGGCAAATGTAAGGGATCATGATTGTACAACATGGGGAAAAAAATGTCTTGATAAATTCACCCCCACCCCCACCCCCAAAGTGTCAAAGTTTGCTTTTGGAGAGTGACATTGCAGTGAGGAAGCTGAAGTATATTTCTCTGTCTACTTCAGAAGCTTCTTCATGGCCTGAAAATTTATTCTGAACATTTTATGCTTTGGATCTTTTAAAAATAGATCTTTTAAAGAAAACATTCGCTTTAGAAAACATTCATTCAAGGTAAACATTCATTTAGAAAACAAGAAAGTTGATTTAGACAATAAAATGACAATTGATCAAAGAGTTTTAAAACATATATATGTCTACATGTCTCTCATTTACCAGTGTGTCCTGGTGGCCTAAGACCAGTCTAATGAGACTTTAGTAAATATCTACTGAATTAATGAATGAATAATATTGCTACTTTAATTTCAACTATTATTTGAATATCTTGCTTTTAACCTAATTTTATCATATGAGCATTTTTATTGCGAAAAAAGTAATGCCTTTATTGGTATACTATATTTTATCATTCGGAGCACCATAATTTTTAAAACTAATTCCCTCTATTTAAGAAATTAAATGACAGTAATAATATTATTATTGCCTTATAACAGTGCCTGACATGCAGTAGGTCCTTTCATCTCATTGTACTTAAGACCAAGCAAGGTAAATGTGATAAACAATAAACTCATAGATGGGTTCAAATTCATAAAGCATCATCTTGTTAATTGCTAAAGACAAAATGGGTGCATAAGCAAATGTGGTGAAGAAAGCGGATGGTGCCTGGCTGTTAAAAGATGTAGCATCTGGGGTCTTAAAGGCTTGAAGTGAAACAAGTGGCCATCCAGCAGAGAAACAACAAGCCCACATGGAAGAAGCACACCAGTCTGTGCAATAATGAGGTGTCATCAGGACTGGGTAACAGGCACCAGAAGACCCTTAACAAACAAACAAACAAGCAAACAAAAACATATGGTTGAGAATGAGAGGGCTCAGAGCAGAGACCCAAAGCCCTTCTGTAGACAATGGAACATCCCCCACAGAGGTGTCACAGGGAAGGAATGAGTCAACCAGGGTGCAGTAAAGCACCAATGAAACAGACAATATTCCTCTGGTTCCTTGAGGCTTCCTCACCCCCCACTATCATGACCCGAGTGATGCCTCTCATTTCAGACTAGATTGGAGCATGTGCACAGGTATATATAAGAGATAAGAGCTCGCGATTCACAAAACACAGGAGCAGGAAGGGGAATAGCAATACTAGAAGGGTAGGGAGAAAGGGGGTGGGGCAGGGGAGGAAGGGGGAACGGAGTATAATGATCTACACATAATCACAACCCCCGCCCTCCAGGGGGAAGAACAACAGAAACCATGGGGGAAGGGAGACAGCAGTCGGTGTGAAATATGAAAATAATACAAATGTATATCAAGGGGTCAGAAGGATGGTGGGGGAAAGGAGGGGGAAAGGGGAGCTGGCACCAAGGTCTCAATAGAAAGTGTCTAGAGAAGACTGATGGCCACATAGGGACACATATGCCTGACACAACTGATGTATGGATTGTACTGAGAGTTGTAAGTGCTCCCGATAAAATGATTTTTTTTAAAAAAGAATCATCTTATTCATTAATTACCTAGATAAATTACCTGTTTTTCCAATTCCCAAGCACCTACTGTATGTCAGGCACTGTCATGAGCACTTCACTCATTTAATTAACTCATTTCGATTTTTTTCCTACCCTATTGGCCATATTACTGTTCCCATCCCAGACATGAGAAAACAGTCCTGCGGTCCAGATGGAACTAAGACAGACATTTTGGAGAACAGAATTTCAATTTTTCAATGAGTCACATGAAAGTTGTTCCCCCCACCACCACCACCCCAAGTTTTATTGGCATGTAACTTACATATCATATTATTCAATTGTTTGATCATCCGATGATTATATGGGTTTGGGGACAGGGGCTGGGGATAGCCACAGTAGGCTAAAATTGGTGGGATCCCATCCCACTTCCAACTTTTCTTGGCTCTTTAAGTAGCCCTTGGGTTATGCCTACACTGGAATGTGACTGTGTCAGTACATGGATGAATTAAGTATTCTCCTCTTAGGGAGCGAGTAACAGGTTTTGTCTGATCTTGACCAGGACGGCAAGAGAGCTTCCAGCCCAGCACTGTGGTGGGTGAATAGCAAAGGGGATGAAGTGAAGTGGAGCTTCACAGAGCTGACAGACCTAAGCTGCCGAGTAGCCAATGTCTTCTCACAGACCTGTGGCCTGAAGCAGGGAGATCACCTGGCTGTGATTCTGCCCCGAGTGCCTGAGTGGTGGCTCGTGACTGCGGGCTGCATACGAACAGGTGAGTGCCTCCGGGGACCCTGATGGGTCTCAGGGTTGAGCTAGAGTTTTAATCTCACCTCCTTGTGCTGGGGCGACAGAGCAAGCCTCCCTGCCTTTTGGAATTAGCCATCCATTCAGGGAGAAAACATCTTCTCTTTCCCTACTTCCTTTACTGTGACCATTCCCTTTTTCATCGGGCTCACAAATTCTATCTCTCTCCCTCACTCTCGTCCTCCCAAGTCTACATTCTCAGACCCAACCTGCCCATTGCATACTCTCGGACATTTCACTTGCTTTCTCGATATTAATTCATTTGGACGGGTTGCCACCATCTCGGTCTCCCTGCCTCTCGCTCCTCCGGCCGCTCTTTCTCCTCTTTTCCCTCCCCCTTTTCTCTCTCTTTCTTACTCTCAATCCTTTGAGAATCAGTTCTAGACATTGTGAAACTTCATAGCATGCACCTACTAAGAGCAAAGATAGTCCATTCGCCTATTCACAGCACAGGGATCACATAAAAAGTCTAATGTGGACACAGACGTTATGATATACGCCCCTAGTCAAAGTTCCTCAGTTGTCCAGATAATGCCCTTTATAGGTTGTCGTTAAACCCGGAATCCAAGGCAGGATCCGGAATGGCATTTAGTTGACGTGTCTCCTTGGTTTTCTTCGCATCCCAGTCACATGTTTTGAGGGGTACAAGTTGTTTCATGGAGCATCTCTTGAATTTTGTCGTTCGGCCTCTGTCCTCGTGATTATATTCAGGTTGATTCTTTGGGGCAGGAGTGCTAAAAGGAAGGAGGTATCATGAAGTCAGTTTGTCCCATCATTGTTACCAATGAATCTGGGGCTAGGGGAGGGTTCCACCAGGTGAGATTACGAGTCTGATGACAGAGACACTGCGAGGAGGAAGATGAAGGGTAACTTTAATTGCACGCAGGCACGGAACTCAGAGGACACCCCTCAGGTAGAGTTCTCTGAAGATTGCGGCACTATCATTTTTATACCCTTTCGAATAAGGAAGTTATATGCCATATAGCCAAGGAAAACATCTACCTTTGGGGGGAACTAGGGCAAGATGGTTGGGTGCAGTGTATGTGTGTGATCGTGTCATGGACACAAAGGGTATGTGATTTTTAGCCTGTAACGTCAAACACTCACTAGGAGACACAGGTTTGGGAAAGTTGAACAGAAGTAGTTTTAACCACCTCTTGCGTGTTTTACCTGGTTCTCATGTTAGGCTAACTTATGCTGGTTTTTCATGTTTCCTCATTCCACAGAAGAGGTTGGGTCATTACACAGTGTTATTAAGAAGGTGACGAGCAGACCAAGTGGAGAAGCCTCAAGTTTCTGTTTTTCTTTGGCTGGAACTCAATCTTGAGTTTCTTGGAGGAAGCATTTCACTTCCTTCTTGAGTCTTAGGCATGTTAACCCTTAACCTTTTGATCCAGGTGGAAATGGATAGAAACAAAACCTGTGAATGCCTCCTTGGAGGTCAACAACACATTTAGCACTGCCCTACAGCTAACGTGTAGGTCTTATATGGAGAATCATTGTAATTAATGTAAAAAAAAAAAAGATCGTAACCATCATGTATCAGGATGGTTAGTTAGGTCACACTGTCACCTAACTAAAATCTGAGCCTTAAGAGGTTAAAATATATTTTAGCTCATTCTTGGTCACAATGTAAGTTGGCGACTACTCGCCTCAGCGAATCCTGATCGGTTTCAATTTGACCTGAAACATTAACTAACATGCAGCAACTGCAATTCATGTATGCACTTAATCCTCCATAGCATTTTTAATAAACTGATCAAATATGAATATTTTCATAACTCCAATGATATCATGGGGAGGGAAATTCATTGGCTCTTTTCTCATGCATATTTTGTAAGATCAACAGTCTTACTTTTATGTCAGTGGAAGGCCCTAGTGGAATAAAACATTTCTTTAAGGGTCACCTTGTATGGGCCTCCAGCCCATGTTCATACAAGGTGCAAAGTCTTGGGTGACTGTTAGCAGCTTCCTTGTATAACCAATAAGGGCCAGTGTGTCTTAATAAGTAAGTGGTGGGGGAAACTCAGAAATTGTTTTACATATGCTCTGATCTGTAAGGTGGAGCCCCTAACACCGACCCGCCCACCCACCCTTTGTGTATTAAAGCACTGGAATTGGCTGCACTAGCAAAGGTACCATCAGTGCTGTGTTCATGGGATTATTCACAGTAGAAACAGGATACATTTTTAGAACTTTAGAGATGGATATTGTGTTGGGCCGGATTTACTATAAAAACAAAAACATGTGACCTCCTCCCTGGGGGACAGACAGCGGAAAAGTGGTTGTAGGGAGGCGTCGGACAGGGCACGATATGACAAAGTAATGATTTATAAATTATCAAGGGTTCATGAGGGAGGGGGGAGCGGTGAGGGAGGGGAAAAAATGAGGACCTGATGCCAGGGGCTTAAGCAGAGAGCAGGTGTTTTGAGAATGATGAGGGCAATGAATGTACGATATGCTTCACACAATTGATGTATGTGTGGATTGTGATAAGAGCTGTATGGGCCCCTAATAAAACAATTTTAAAAAATCAGTGATATCCATATACGAGGTGATACCCCCAACACCAGAATTGCACAGGGCAAAGCAGAGTTTTCATAGTGCACATTTTTCCCTCTGGGCAAGCAACTCGCTCTGAGTTAGTGCACTTGAGTTAGTGCACTCAGTGGCTTAGCCTGGGAAGGTTCTCTCTGGTCACAGTGAATTTTTTCATAAAAGCCATTTTGCTCAAACCTCATTTTTTGTGCTGCTCAATTAAAAGAACAGCGTGCAGCTATGAAATTTTGTTTCCTGCTTGGGTAAAAAACACTACAGAAACTGTTGTGATGTTGAGCACAACTTGCAAGGGGAAAACTCAAGTGTACAAGTGGTTTTCTCTCTTCATAAAAGGAGAAATGTCGATTGATGACAAACCTCATTCTGGATGTCTGCCAACTTCCTGAGCAGACAAAAATGTCGACTCAGTGCATTTGGAGTTTGCTCCACCAGGTCAGGCTGTTAATCAAGTTTTCTATTTAGAGGTTCTGAAAAGATTGTGTCACAGGGTGTGACCAAAAAAAGGTTGATTTATGGTTTTGCTACCACAACAATGCATCTGCTCACGCGGCCATCTCAGTGCGCCAGAGGAAACTAGTAACCTGTCTTGCTTTCCGGGACTCCCCAAGGCAAGAGGCTGATTTCTTCATAACATGTTACTGTAGCACCCATATCATCAGTGATCAATCCATGAAGACAGGTATCAAGCAGAGCCAGAGTGAAAGAGAGAGAGGTTACTAGTTTCCTCTGTGCCCTGATTGACAGGATGAACTCTACCCCACCATAAAGGCAAGTTGACATAAAACCACCCAACGACCACAGCCCTTCTAGGTCCAATACCTATCATATGTTTAGAAACACATTCAAATGTGCCTTTCCCTAAGAGCTCTGGTGACAGTGTGGGTTCAGGCTGTTAACTACAAGGTTGAGAGTTTATACCTGTCAATCACTCCACATCAGGAAAATGAAGCTGTCTGCTCCATACAGATCTATGGTCTTAGAAAGTCCACAGAAGGTTGCTATGGGTCAGGACCAGCTTGCGGGGCAGTGGGTTTTCAGTTGTGGTTCTTTTCATAACTAGTGGAACCATGGGCTTACCTTAAGACAGGATGAAGAAGGCTTAGAGATCATGACCAGTTGTTTTCCATGCTCAGATCTTTGGAGGCCCCTCATTTAATTGCTCCAAGGTCATTTTCATCCTCATAATGGGAAGTTGAGGGAAAGAGAGGCAGCATCTTTGACAGTCACAAGGATAGCGGCATGCCAGGCTGCTGTCTTCATGGCAGCACCTGTTCTTCCATGTTCCTCTACCACGGTTGAATCTTCTTTTTGGTGTCCTCCACAGGGTATGATGCTAACTTCCTTGGGGAGGGTACCAGCTGTGAGGAGTTGAATAATGACCGAGACATGTTTGACAGACTTATTTTCAGAGATTACAAACATTCTTTCCTTCCAACCAGTTCCCTGCATATGGACTCCTCTGAACAAGTGCCCCGAATTCATATAAACATTGATTTGCAGGCTGGTTGATAGGCAAGGTGCTCTGATGAAAACCAAGTATTCACTCTTCTGTGGCGGGGTATTTAGTAGAAGTGGTTCAGCTTCTATTATACAAATGGGATTTCCTATACTCTGTGAAATATTCTTTATCGGGGTAATTCATAGACTCATCTGTGAGGTCTACCCAATTGGAACAGATCTCTTCTGTTACCAGAATGTAGTCATTCCAGTTGGTTTGTAATTAGAAAGTGCCTCAGTGAAGTTGGGTTCAAATTGGTAGCTGTTTTTAACGTCACTTGTGGCTTGTCCAGAAAAAAACCACTTGGTATTTGGCCATCTTTCCAGCATCACAGGAGAAAGACAAGGTTTTCTACTCCTGTACATAGTACAATCCCGGAAACTCGCAAAGGCTGTTCTACCCAGTCGTGTAGGGTCAGTGTGAGTCATAATTGACTCCATGACAGTCGATAGTAGTTCATTATCACCAGGTCTTCCTTTCTGCTCTAGGTCAGGTAAGGTAAGGTGAGCGCTAGGTAAGGTAAGGTGGAGTATCCACAGTGGTGGGTTAACCAAGGTTGAATTTCTCGAGAAGACCGGTAGCAGTGACTGCCTGAAAGCAAAGAGTCCATCCTCAGGCCATCGTGTTGATGCCCTTTGAGGAGTCGTCCGCTGTTCTTACTGGTGGGCCTAGTGGTTGAGTGAAGACCCCAAAAGCAATGCCCTGCTTCTCATAAACTAACAAACAAAAACTTCTAAGGCATTCCTAAGAAGCCTTGTAACTCTCTTGGGCTCGACAGAGCAGCAATCTGGAAATTTTACCTTTTTGATCTACCAACAGTTCTCTCTGTTCTTATAATATAGTAAAACCCAAATATTCAGCTATGGATTTAGAAATCTGAGCCTTGACTTTGGACATCCAATATCCTACTTTTCCCCCCGAAATTCAGAGTTCAAACAGTATCTGCCTCCAAGGCCTCTTTAGATTTGATGGCTATGAGTAAATCATCCACATATTGAAGAAGGATATTTCTGCTTAGTTGTAAGGCTCTTGAGGTTTGAGATAAACCTATCCTAAAGATGGTGGAAGGGTTTTTGAACCTCTATAGATGAGTCCAGCAATATTGTCTTCTGAGTCTTTGGTCAGGAAACTCC